CCAAAAAAAACGCAGCTTTTTCCTAGTTTAACCTAGACTGTACCTCCCACAGGTATTGAGATCCTCATGAATAGGATCCTTCTCTGGGTAACCCTGTATGTTTACAAAGCATTAATTGTCGCCAACCTTGGATTTAATGCATACTTTTGGCTAGATGTGCCTACCATTGCATGCAAAAGTGACAAATCAATACAACGGCGTGCATTATTTTCTTTGGAATAGGATATTCCAGTAGCCAATTGTACAGGGTTGTTTCACGTACAGCAAAGGTGCTATCTTTGTTTTGATATGAACCATTTAGTTTTTGTTAAAAGGATACATTAAATAAGGCCAATAATATATACTAACGGTGCAGCATATGAAGAATTCTAGCTTAATTCGTAATTTTGAAAGGTGGAGATACAAAAAATCGATGCATAGGGTATCCTAACAGGTACCTTACGATATAATCTAATTGCCATTTTTCATCAGCTTGACCTAGAAATTTTATATTGCGCGTAAGCCAATTAATGATCGAGGGATTTAATTATGGATCATTTTCGTTGGAGGAATGCGAGTGAAACTTTGGAACTGTTACAGACTCGTCTTCCTGTCCGCGTGATTTCTCGCAACAGCGTCGCCCACTGCTTGGCGATATCATTTGACTTTTCTTGTGGTGATTCCTCAATGTAAAAGTCAACTGAAACAATTCGTAGATAAAAGGGAATATGCATGATTTTTTGTATTCTGTCGATTATTCACATCAGTATACCGTAAGCACGTTTCATTCTTAGAAACCTTCATATTTATTCTTAATTAAATATTTAAAACTGCTATTGAAGAAACAGGTGCATACAGTTGTTATGTAACATTTTTTTAAAAATCGTTTTTTTGCATTAAAATAACCTTAAGGAGTGATTCTTTCATTATGTGTTGCAAAACAAGATAATAACGAACTAATTAAACTAAATATTGAAAATGTGAATCAAGTAAAAAGTCCCAATAAAAAATGTTTAAAGTTAATTTTCACCATGCAATGATTCTATTACATGGCACATTTATCCACTTGTGTCTTCAATTCCAATGATGTTGATCTATGCGCCGCGTTTTTGGCGCGCTTCGCAGTGACGTCACCCTCCCCGACATGTCAGTTCATTGTTTTTTTGGTTAGGATATTGTCGAGTTTTTGACATACCATCTGAATGTAAGCATTTAGGGCCGATTCGTCCTACAATTGTAGGACGCCTTTATGACTTCCTTGACTTTCATAGTATTTTCTCTACTTTAGAAAGTCTGGGACATTTCTTGATTTCTACTGTTCCGTGTCAGCGTCAGCGCTCTCCTATTGTGAGGCTATGTTTTCTGTTTGAATTATAGGAAATTTCAGGTTGATATAATAGATGATATAAATCAAAAGCATGAACAATTTGATGCAAATAGATATTTGTAACATAACCTCAAAATGAGCGCTGACACGGAACAGTAGAAGACTTTGAAAATCAAGGAGGCCAAACAGGCGTCCTACAACTGTAGGAACGACTGAAGATATGGCCCTTAGCCCCCATGGGCGTTTATGCCGTACACCTTCGTGGTGGTAGGAGTACAGAAAAATTAAAGGTTTTATTTATTGCTAAAAATTGACTTAAAAAGCTGGAACATCAAACTGACAGATTAACAACCAAAGACAGTAGCACAAGCGCCTGCCATTTCAAATCGGTCTGACCAATTAACAAAGGATTGACTGGTCACAAGTTGCAACTGGTGACGTCACTCGAATAACGTTGCGTTTCGATATTTTAAATTTATCGCGTACTTTTTCCACTTTTTATTAATTACTACTCGTAGTTTTATAGCGATCAAGTATAAAATGAGGTTAAAGGTGTCATTTTGTAGCAATATAGAGTGTACATGAAATAAACTTAATTAAGCGATATTTGAATACATGCAAATTATCTATCAATGACCAGCTCCAAAACATATCTCATGGACGTGGTGAAATTGAGCCGTTATTGTCCAGTTATGTCAAAAGGTTATCGAAAATATGAGGTGTGGAATGGTACACAAAGCTATTAGGACACATTTTTATGATTATCAAAAATTACGTGCTACTTCGAAAGTGATGATGAAATGATAATGAGTAAGCCTTTCTTCTCTTTTTAAGAGACGGATTAAGAGTTGTTCTATAAAACTGGTTGTCCCGCAAACGCTCCGGTAATGGGGTAGAGCCACATGAAGCTACTATAAAAAAAATTCTAAATAGGAACTTTCGTATTCAGCGTTATAATTCTTTATTCATAACGGAAGATTCCTTATTTAGTCCGCCTTCCACATATGTATGTTTGTAGAGAAGACATACAATTACAATTATTAGAACGTGAAAAGATCAATGAGTAACCCGAGTACTTACAATGATCAAATACCTGCTATCTTATATCATATTACAAGCTTCTGTGGATTTCCTAGTAAAAGCGAAATCTATAAGACTTTTGATATATACATGTAATAAAGATAAATTTCGATCTTATCAATTTCCAAGTTCATGATTTAAAGAATAATTTTGGCAGTTTTAGATATACATTTTGGTCTTTCTGGAGGATTGAATTTCAGTAGCGTCTAATGCAAACTTTGTTCTATTATGAATTGCACAAAAATGAAATAAAAAATAGGCTACTTGACTCATATCTAATTTCATAGAATCAGTGAGTATTTCGTACACCATTTGGCTTACGAAAACGGAATGTATAAAAATGTATTTTTTATTTTTGATATGAAACGGTGAAAACACTATCGGCCATGATGTGACGTCATACAAATTGTAATCGTCGTCCGTCACTCGTGGACGAACGTTGTCTTCTTTGGATATGTCCAAAAAAAATCCTAATCAACGTAAAAGATATCATTTTCTTATTTTACTGAAAAAAATAATGATGGACGCTGGATTCGTAAAAGGAGAAAGCACAAGTTTGCCGAAAATTGACACATCGATGGTAGGTAATTGTTTTACCTTAAACCAAGATTTCTGCTCTGCTGAATTGAGGAATATCGAGACTTCTTACGAACGTACAGTACATAAGATATACTAAGTGACATATAAATCCGAACACCCAGTTTAAATGGTTTTATTTTAATAAAAGTTGGTGAATGTATTTATCTTACTGTAAATAACAAGTGAAAAATTTTTCAGCCTTATCAGTTGGACATTCCGGTTTTTATACTGCTTTTTTTAATTCACTAACGCTCTAAAAATGAATATTTCAGCCGCAGTAAAGAATCAACGTTGGCGGATTTTGGTTCTTGACATCCTTTACGATCGGTTACGATGCCTAGAGTACGGAGACCTGTACGATTTCGTCAACTTAGTGAGTTTGATAGGGGCCGTATAGTGGGACTTCGGGAAGCTGGACTTTCTTTTCGGGCAATTGCAGTTAGAGTGCAAAGAAGTGTAGACACTGTGGTTAGGTGTTGTCAGGCATGGCTTCGAGAAGGCCGTACGCAAAGAGCAAGGGGCACTGGACGCCGCCGTAGAACAACAGACCGTGAAGATCGCCGCCTAAGATTATTGGCCTTAAGGGACCGTTTCTCCATTACCAGGTCCATTACAAATGAATCGTTTGCAGAACACGGAAGACCTATTGGCATGCGAAGTGTTTACCGACGAATGAGAAGTTTTGGCTTGTTTTCATACCGGCCACACTGGGTCCTCCCTTTAACTCGAGAACACCGACGTAATCGTCTTGAGTGGTGCAGACAACGGTCACTTTGGGATCAGGAATGGAATAGTATTGTCTTTAGTGACGAGTCTCGATTTTGTTTAGACATGCACGATGGTCGTGCCAGGGTTAGAAGGCAACGTAGTGAAAGGAGGAATCTACAGTTTTTTGTTGAAAGACATGTTCATCACACTGTTGGAGTTATGGTTTGGGGTGCTATAGCTTATGGTTCCAGATCACCTTTAATCTTCATCAGAGGTAACATGAACGCGCAGCGTTATATCCACGAAGTTCTAGAACCCCATCTTTTACCCTATCTTGACACACTGGCAGATCCAACTTTCCAACAAGATAATGCCCGACCACATGTTGCAAGAGTCACAATAGAATTCTTTCAACATAATGATGTCACATTGTTACCATGGCCACCAAGATCTCCCGACTTATCCCGAATTGAGCACGTGTGGGATATGATGGGTAGGAGATTGCTCAATTTGCAACGTCTTCCTCAGACTCTAGAAGCACTTCGAGAGGAGTTGGTGGTTGCCTGGAATGAGATACCACAGGAGGATATTGACCACCTGATCAGAAGCATGCCTAGGCGCGTTGGAGAATGCGTAGCACATCAGGGTGCATCCATACATTATTAAAGGTCAAAGAGCTTTAAAGCAGTGCAGTCATTTTGAAATTTTTATTATTTACTTATTATGCTTCATTAAGTACTTATACAAAATTTTATTAAAATAAAACCATTTAAACTGGGTGTTCGGATTTATATGTCACTTAGTATATAATAAAATCTTCTCAGTGAAGTTTAAAATACGTCCTGAACATATGGCATATTCCAAGCAATACACAGTGTTGCGTACATTTATTTCCCTAGGCACTCATATCCACAACTTTCCTGGGGTCTTTATCGATATGTTTTTACATTCTAGGATGACACAATACTGATAATTACTATATTTTTCATGGAAACTAGTAGAAGGGATGCTTATAAGTTTAAAAGTTTGACAGATTGTGCTGCTATCAGCTGATGTTTACAAATGGCATGAGGTCAGAGCACATATATGAGAACATGACGGACCCCTTTTTTGCCTGTCTAAGAAAAGATACCATATTTTTAAATTGGAGTTTTAGTGTCTTTTGTTCTAAAAAAATATAGTGCTTTTTTTGGTCTAATTCTAATAGAACCAACCTAAAAAAGTGTCAACTACCCCATTGGCATTATCCTAGTTGCATCTAAGCATTTTTGTTATAGCTTAGTAGATACACAACCTCCTTTAATGTTGAAAATGAATATGTTTTCAGTATTATTTGTGATTGGAAAGAATTTCTACAAACTGCGCATCCCTAAGAAGAATGTCATTCTACAGTTCATTCGATGTGGTTCGGTAAGTCTACATGTAGTGAAGTATTATTAACTTTGAAAGTATATATTTCAAGGAAGCTATGCATCTACTTGATCTCAATGAGCTAGAAATTCCCCTATATAGATGTAGTATGCTTTAAGGCAAAAATCGAACGAAAAAGGTGAAATTGGTCGATCGCATTGGTTGGACTACGCTAAAGGAAGATTTAGTGCCAAAGTCATCGAAGATATGAAAGTTGTTTGCTCCATCTTGTTATTGTATGCTCCATTGCCACTGTTTTGGTCTTTATTCGATCAGCAAGGCTCTAGATGGACGTTTCAGGTAAACAAAAAAATTAAAGGAACATGTACTGCTGATCATAGATCTACTCCCTGGTTGCTTGAAATATGTGCGAGAGAGAGACAGAGAAGTGTGCAACACATATGCCAAAAAGATTACGCGAATAGCTCCCTGACAAACTACAGGCGTGTTTAGCGTCGTTGCTGGGCTACATTTGTATGGCGCACGCTTTCATGAGGGGTTCGAAAAGGGTGAAAATAACCCCCATCCCTACATATATTTTAGCTATTTTTTTCGCAGCTCACTCAACGACTTTGTTTTTTTTATTTGAAAGATCCTTTTATTTCATCTTTTGTCTCTCATAAAGACAGGTTTTTGAGAAAAAAACGTTTTCAAATGTTCTAGTAGGTATCTAGTTGGCGGAAATGTGGCATATTATGTCAGTATCAGATTATTTTTGACAAGCTTCATAAAGTTTAAATTAATAACACTGATAAACACAGGATTTGTGACATGGCAATTTTTGGGTGTATCTTATGTATTTTGAGACCCTTAAATTAAATCTAAAAACAGAATTTTTCTATCACCCACAGATATCCGGTAGCATCTACTTTTATGAATTAAAACACGTAACATCTCATATTGATGCATTTCTCAGCGTTTATGCGATAATGCACATATATAATGTAAAAACCTGTCTGTTCCTGTTTATTATATGCGAGCTCTATGTTTAGAGAACATATTTCGTTTATTAGGAGACTAATAGCAGCCGAGTCAGTTACGTTGTCTGTGTTGAAGAGTCCTGAGATGCTCTGAGTACTGTTCAATTTTGTTAAAACGGTATGTTGTTTTTAGTTTATTGTGACCGAGATTAGCTCTATGGACAATGCCTAGAAATTGTGTAAATAGTGCGAACAGTTTTTGTTATGTGAGCCGAGAGCTAACTTTTAAATCCCAAAAACGTACTTTTACTCCCCTTGTGTTGCAAGCATACGAACTTTATTTTGCAATTAAAGCATCCCACAAACCGGCGCGAAATATTCGCTTTGGCTGCGAAAATTTCGCGGCGATGAATTCGCGATCAGATTAAAACGCGGCGGTTTACGGACAGGCTCAGACTTGTGCGAAGCGAATGCGATTGTTCCAGCGTTTTTATCGCGGCGCATTTCAGTTCGCCTTTGACCGCGTTTTTGACGCCGTTCTTCAAAAATTCGCAATGGCAAAAACGGAATTATTGATAGAAATTGTGAAAAAGTATCCTTGTTTGTATGATTTGTCGAACGATGAATACAGGAATGTGAGAAAGAAAGACAAGATTTGGATGGAAATAGGAAAAGAATTAAATACAAATGGTATGTACCTAATATTTTTTATTAACTTGTTAAATAATTTACAGTCTACACAAATGTGAAAACGAACATTCTATATATTGGGCATAGGCATATCAGAATTAAAATAATTTACGAATTTGTCACGAGTAGAAAATGCTAGCCTTGCTGCCCGCCGAGGATCATTTGCTATATCAGTAAAAGCTCCAAGCACGGGTTCTGGGGGATCTAAGAATTGAAAATATTTGTCATCGCCACTTTTACTTCGTAAAAAATTGTGTAAAACACATGCCGTACGTACAATAATTAGAATAGTAGTATCTACTTTAGTTTCTAATGGCCTGTAAAATATTCGCCGTTTTTTGAGACAAACTACCAAACGCATTTTCCACGACCCTTCTAGCTCGACAAAGTCTTACATTGTATTTCTCTTTTCTGACGTCTGTTAAAGTCTGCTTATAAGGAAATGGTCTCATAAGGTATGGTTTTGAAGCAAATGCTTCATCACCAATTAAGACGTACGAGCAGATTTCATTTTGCCCAGGGAGAAATCTAGGTACAGGGACACTCATTAAATTTTGTTCAAATCGTTTTCCCATGTTTAAGGTTTCGAAAATACCCCCATCACTATTTTTTCCGAAACCACCAATATCAACACATAAAAATTTATAGTCCGGGCCAACAATGGCCATAAGTACTATTGAATATTTATGTAAATAGCACCAGTAATTGGAGCCACTGTTGTTAGGTCTCTTGATTGTTACATGTTTACCGTCCACGCTGCCAATGCAACTGGGAAATCCCCATCTATTTTCAAATTCTTCAGCACATTTTTTCCAAATATTCTCTGTTGGTTCTGTTAAATATATATGCTCCATATGTCTGCATATCGCTTCACAGACTTCGGTTACGATTGCACTCACTGTTGTAAAGCCAACTCGAAAGCTATGCCCAATGGTATAGAAGGTGTCACCAGTGGCAAGGAATCTATAAAAAAAATCGTTTTTAGGTGATGAAGTAAAAAAAAGGTGGAAGAATATCAGAGACACATTTGCAAAATATATAAAATCTAGAAAACCAAAGACCGGCCAAGCAGTGGGCAACATAAAAAAATGGCAGTGGGCTGACTACATGGAATTTTTCCGTCCTTTTTTGGCATTTGCCAAAACGCCGTCTAATGTGAAAGATATTGACGTCATACATTATGAGACTGCCGAATTTAACTCAAATATATATCAGGAAAGGGCTGGAAATGTAGAAACCGAAAATTTGGAAGACCGCGGCCATGGAGAAGATGAAAATGCTGATGTAGATGCAGAAGATGCACAGAACGCCTCGGCAACACAGACAGCACCACCTTCTTCATTGAAAGCTACAGCAGTGACTACTCCAGGGCACACCTTTCCGCAGACTGCAACTACACCAAAATACAAAACGAGCAGAAAACGCTATGAACCACCATCTTCGTCTGTACAACAGCTCATTAATTATTTTGAAGGTAAAAAACCTAAAAAAGAGAACGAGGCCATTGATTCACTTTTCTTGGCACATGCACAGACTGTGAAAACACTTCCCTTAAGGCGTCAAGCCCGAATAAAACTAAAAATAGCCGAATTAATAGCGCACGAAGAATTTGAACATATTGAAGAAATGTCTTCAGCGTCTACCCAGAATTCTACAAGTATGTATGATAGTAGTATGTCGTCCTTCCCAAGCGGCACTGGGTTTACTCCAATAATATACCCAACAGAGGAGGCAAATTCTGCCTCGAATTATTTAGCAACATTTAATCCTAGTGGCAACATGTAGTCCAATTATTACAATAAAATATTTATTCCACGATCCCTGAAGTTTTCGTATTCGATAAGCCTACTAATTTTAATACATATAATTTTTTTACCTGAGTGTAATAGCAAGTCGTTCTTCTGGCGAAATAGCTTCACGATAATTTGTGTCAGATTTTCGTTTTTCATCTTTCACCAAGTTCAATATTTCATCGAAACACTACGTAAAAGCGCTGTTCATCCAGCCGAAGTTGTGGCACCAAGGTATGGTATTCCCCAAATTTATTTCGTTCCAAGTTAATATCATGTACCCACTTCCTTCGTTTCCTAAACAAAATTGAAAATATTTGTTTTATGTACTTCGTTAAACTTAATACATACCCAACTATCAAATGGCGTTAAATAAACATAACTTACCGTGCATTTTGTTCCTCTTCTTAAGGCAAGAAATAGAAGTGCCTCCTCTTCTTCTGAAGACGAGCTCATTGCAAAAGGCAAAAATAAAATGTACGCAACCTGTCGAAACCTTCACGTTCGCGGAGCGAATAAGACGCTTTGGTATGAATAAACAGGCGAAACAGATTGCGAATTTCGCTCTGAATTTCGTTGCGAATACTTCGCCGCGATTATTTCGCGCCGGTTTGTGGGATGCTTAAAAGCTGGCGACCAAGATAAACTATGGGCCCCTCATATATGTTGTAAGACTTCTGTAACGTTGTTAACAGGTTGGGCGACAATCGTAAAATGCCCTTTGCGGTACCAATGGTTTGGAGAGAACCGAGAGACCATACTACTGATCGCTATTTTTGCCTCACAATTATTATTAATAAATAAATAATATATATGTAGGTATTGGACCAAAATCGGAACATACTCTTAAGTATTTTAATTTACCATCAGCTTTGCGGCCCGTTAAGCATAGTGATGAACTTTCTGTTCGACTTCCACCAGAATCTTGGTCATTGGATGAAAAAGTCGAATTCACCGATTTTGAAAGTGATGGTACAGAAAGCGTAAAACTTTCGGATCCTCCGTTTGAGCTGCCAGGATGTTCAACAGAGCCGCATTTGATCACACAGGGCGAACTTAATGACTTAGTTCGAGAATTAAATCTGTCAAAATCCCAGTCAGAACTTTTAGCGTCAAGATTAAAAGGTTGGAATCTTCTCCACGGTGATGTTAACATTACTTTTTACCGAAAACGGCAACAAGACCTCACGCACTGTTTCCGTGAAGAAAGGGAGTTGATGTATTGCTCCGATGTCAACAATTTGTTTGACGCGTTAGGACAGCAACATGATCCAAATGATTGGCGCTTGTTAATCGATTCCTCTAAGACTCTACCTATTAAGTTGGCACTAACGAAAAATTTTGTGACAGTTATGGATCGAAATGGAAGAGGGTTTCTGCATTTAAAACAAATATTTCCGAGCCTTAGTGAAGGTCCACAAATACGGAAAATCATGAAGGATGATGTATTTGACAGTGCTCTAAATGAAACTGAATTACGAGCTTGGAATGCTTTTAAATCAGTTACTGGAAATTTTTTAGGCAGTGTGAAGGCGGACAATTATAAATATATTGTGAGTGAACTAATTAATGTTTATAAAGGAATGGGATGTAATATGTCTCTAAAAATTTACTTTTTGGATTCACATCACGATTTTTTTCCGGAAAATTTCGGTGCGGAAAAACGGTATCAAGGCAAATGGAGTGTCAATTTGCTTTCTGATTATTGCTGGACATTGTTAAGAGATACTTCAGGAGCAACATATCGCCGTAAAACATCGACAACAACATTCTGAGATTAATGATTATTCGAGTGTTTATTAGTACTCTTACACACATATCCTTATATTTTACGAGTATAAGCAGCAAATAAAATGCCTTATTGCAGAAAAATCGTGGGTGCTAGAAAAAATCGAATGCTATTTCCGGCTTTTTGGGTACGTTTTACATAATAACCACCTTGTTTTGTCCATGTCACAAACAATTATTTTAATTTGATTAACCAGCGTACAATGTTTGAGTTTAGTTTTGTTCTTCATATATTCTTGTGGCGAACAGACTTATATGTTGTTAGTGCTTGGTTTCTGCGAAGATAACTGCAGAAAAAGTGTTCGCGTGAACCAAGAGAGAAATCCGATTCGATGAATTCCAAATTGTCAGATTTTTGCAACTATACAACGCCGAATTCGAGAAATTGGTCGATTCCAAGAGTCAACGCTGGCAACCGCTTGATGCAACTGCAACTATCAAAGATGACCTGTTTTTTAAAAAATAAAGTAAATAAAAATATCACCTAAATAAGAAAATCAAAGTCATAGGGAAAGTTTACAAACAATTCTGCTATAATTTATGTAGGCGTGGGGGTAGTTCTCACCCATCCCGAACTCTTTAGAGTTTTCCGTAAAACTCTAAATGAAAGATTAAATAATTTTCAACCCTTTCTGAAACATTTTCCAAAACTTACAGCATTATAAATCAGTTTAATGTTGAAAAGGGTCAAGTATTAGTAAACTGTTTTCTTCGTTGGAATTTTGTAGCGAAAAGCAGACATTGTAAAATTCTCAATTTCCCATGCACTTTTATAGGCTTCACATATGAGCGGGTACGTTCTTGGTACTCAGATAGTACCTGACCAGATGCAGGTTGTAAATCCAGCGATAGTTCTCATACTCATACCAGTATTTGATCGAGTGTTATACCCGTGCTTTTCAAAACTAAATGTCCTTGAAAATTCATTGCATCGAATGGCACTTGGTGGTATAATGGCTGGTAAGTATATATTTTGAAGTCTTCCTTCTAATTTATTACTATTTTATAGGTAGCGAAAAGCTTTGTCCACTGACTTCTTTCGGAAAAAAGGGGTAATAAGTTTGACCCCGTACGCAATGATTTCCAAAATTCTCATTGAGTGTCTACGCTTTTTTTATGAACAAGCAAAACTTGTCATTCGAAGTTCAAAAGTAATGAGTTCTATCGTGACGTAATAAGTTCTTCTACGCCATGTATTTGGAATGCGGTCCTGGATAATATTTTCGTCAGACGTGAACCAAATAGATTTTATACACTGATGTTGACAGACTTTCATGCCGCTTTCTGTCAGTGTCCGGCACGGGTATCACGTATCTTGAAAAGTGACATTATGCCGATTTTTTTTTTACATTATGCTGCTTTTTTTTGACATTGTGTAGGTTTTTCTGCAAGATATTAACTTAAAACTTAGTTGTATGTGTTGCCTAAACATCATGAAGCTTGTTATCTATCTTTGGCTCTGATGTGATGTAAAATCTACTTCTGAGATGGCATTACTGGAGGTCTAAGTTGTAAGTTGTATGTGTTGATGATAATTACATTGGGTTCTTGTCTCAAATACACTTAATTGAGATTCAAAGCTAGAGATTAGTTGCGCAGACACTTTTTCTTATACATTCTGGAAATTACATAATATACAAATTTGCTGAATTTCCAAAAATGAGAGAGATCAGAAATAATTATATTGACTGTACACTGTCAAAGTACAAGTCATATACATGCTAGAAAATACAAATCAGTACCGAGATGTGAGACATTGCGAAAATGTTTGATGTGTCATGCGTCATTCCTGATTTTTCTGCGATATGGCTTAAAGATTGTGAAAACACAAAAATATGGAAAAAATCATAATTTATACCTTTGTTCAAAACCTGTCTTCAGAAAAGACAACATATAAATAATCCGTGAGACACATCTATTAGATATGCTTCATTGGCATATTCAGTAATAATTTCCTTACACAGCAAATATCATTGATTTCATACACATGCACACCAATACACAAAATCATCCAGATGCGATCTTGCTACTCAACCAGCTTTCTGTCTTTCACATCTTCTCAGAAATAAAAACTACAAACTGCTCGACTTCATAAAACATATACTTGCTTTCTGCAACCAACAATGCGTGCGTGTAGTTGAGTCATTCCTCCATAGATGGCCGCTAGCAGCGATCATAGCGAGCAAACGTGGAATGAACTATTTGCACCCTCTATAACTACCTAGTCTGCAAGATGACATTTCTTTTCCTATTTTTTGGACAGTTTGACCGCCAATTGCTCTAGCGCCGCTATCGTGAGTAAAATTGGAAATCGATACCATTAAAATCAATTCCTGTTGGCTGATCCCTTCAGCCAGAAACAGAAACATTTTTCCAATACACTAGAATAAGACGTGGATAAAACGCGCCATCATTGAACAATAGATATACAGGGTGCTCCTTAACACGTTCGCTGCCAGACATATTTTTTAACATGTGTCCACCACGCCAAACATATATTTTATATTGGCCAGTATATAAAAAAGACGTTGGTCCCATAGGGGCCACATTCCTCATTATGGAAAAATCTAAGAAATTATATGTGCGGCGTATAGCTTCTAGGCCATGTTGGTCCATTTCGGCAGGCGTATATAGGCAAATGAGCGCCAAAGGCCCAGCAGCCATTAGAAAATGCGTTGACCCCATGGGACCAACATAGCCTGGTAAGGCATAATATACTCGTATGTTGGCCCTATTGGACCAATGTGGCCTGCTGAGGCAACATGAATGTTGGTCCTATAGGACCAACGTGGCAGTGAACATGCGAATATTTAAGGGTGTGGATCTACAAGAAAAATTAATGTTAGTTTGCTTTATAAACTATGGTCCAAAAATGTTTCCTTGCAAAAACTCGGCGTGTTGAAGTTTTAGGAAAAAATGGAAATTAATTAATATTTTCAGAAGCGCTTTAGATACTTCACTGATATTCAGTACGTAGTGAAAGTTGACAAAGCTGCATATTTTTCAATGCAAGAATAATGTTTAGCTTTAACTGTGGCGTGCATAAGGGTTTTTTTAAGAAAAAAAATAGTACGCCAATGGTTTTTGCCAAATTATTTTTGAATTCCCCGTTCAATTTAAAACAAATGACCTTGCCTGAATTGTTTTTCTCCGATGCGCCATTTTCGAGTAAAAAAATAAAAACCGTTCTATTGTCTAACTTGCAAAATTATTATTAATTTAATTGGAAGAATTAAACACATTAGGGATAATGAACAACAACAACTGACAACAAAAACGTGACATTAAAACCAACGAAATGATTACAAAAATTGTTGAAAATGGCCTCCTTCACTTAGTATGTATGCATGCTTCCGCCCTCCTTCTCATGGAATTGCGCACTCGTTGAAATATCCCTGCAGTGCTTTTTTTTTCTATCACAAGCTGCAACTATTCTTTTTCTTAATTCATCTACAGTGTTAATGGGAGTTGTGTACACTAGTGTGTTTAGATAGCTCCACAAAAAGAAATCTAAACTGTTGAGGTCTGGGGACCTTGGTGGCCATTCTTGGATCCCACCGTGGCCAATCCAACGATTTGGATAAACAGTTTGTAAATAATTACGAACCGTCACACTGAAATGCGCTGATGCACCATCATGCATGTACCACATATTGTTTCTTATTACTAACGGAACATCAACAGCAAGGCAACTGTTGTTGAAGAAAATTGAGGTAAGTATGTCCGTCAAGTCGTCCTGGCGAGAAGAATGGGCCAATAAAGTGGTTGTCAATAATTCCTGCCCATACGTTAACCGAAAATTGGTGTTGAAAATGGGTTTCGGTTACGGCATAGAGATTTTATTCTGCCCACAGGTAATTATTGTGGAAATTCTGAATGGCATTTCGAGAAAAATTAGCTTCGTCCGTGAACATTATCATTGATACAAATTGCGGATTTTGTGTAATTTTTTGAAGATACCACTGAAAAAAGTTACACGCCTAGGAAAATCAATGGGAATTAATGCCTGTACTCTTAAAATATGGTAAGGATATAATAAAAAATCCACTAAAATTCTCCAAACAATTTGATGGCAAATATTTAAGTGTCTAGCGATCTTCCTCGTACTCGTTTCAGGATGTTCTTCGACTTCGTGCAGCACTGCTTCCTCAATTTCAGGTGTTCTCACACTTAGAGGTCTACCTTCAGATGTTCCTTTTTGGACAGAACCAGTTTCAACAAGACCACGATGAATATTAAAAAAGGTTCGACTATCTGGCAAAGCACGATCGGGATATCTCTGGTGATAAATCCGTCTGGCTTGCTCAACATTACCGTCGTCAAGGCCATATACGTAATGCATTTCCGCCACTTCTGCATTTGAATAATTCACCGTTATTAACAAGATTGTAAAAACTAAATAATGAAAAAGATGTCACAGTGAACAGATTTGAAAAACAGAGACTTGTAAAATGTCAAAACCCAGTGACATATTCCAGAGCAATTGGATATTGATTGCTAAATTGCATTCTTCAATAGTTATTACATTAATTTTCTCGGACAATACAACGGTTTTTATTTTTTACTCAAAAATGGCGCATCGAAGGAAAACATTTCAAGAGAGATCATTTATATTAAATTGAACGGGGAATTCAAAAATACTTTTTATTTGGCAAAAAACCATTGGCGTACCATTTTTTTCTTAAAAAGCCAATACCGGTACGCACGCCACTGTTAAAGCTAAAAATTATTTTTGCATTGAAAGATATGCAACTTTATTAACTTTCACTATGTGCTAAATACCAGTGAAATATCTGAAGATGTTCTGAAAATATTAATTAATTTCCATTTTTTTTCCTAAAACCTCGACACCCCGAGTTTTTGTAAGGAAACATTTTTGGACCATAGTTTATAAGGCAAACTAACGTTAATTTTTCATGTAGATTCACACCCTTGAATATTCGCATATCATTAAGGAACACCCTGTATAACGTTGTCGAGGTCTAGGTGCATTTTATTGAAATGGGAACAAGGCTCACGTTAGATAAAAGCTGCGATTCATCATTCAGAAAGCAATGAAGCAACATCTGCCAATCTATTTTCTAGGTCTCGCCTTTTTCTCTGCTGGCATTTTGGAGCTGGCCCTAGAAACTACTTATCCAGAACTTCCTTCCGAACACCATGCTTCAGTGAACGTCATGAACACTTTGCCATGTTCCCTCACGATCCAAAATCCGTTCGACGAAGCACGGACGGTCAGATCTGGCGAGATTCATAAGTTTGCTGACATTCCAGCTCACAACTATACAAGATATACCTTCAGTGTGGAAGCACCTTTGCAGTGCGGGTCCCTCAAGTTCAACAAGCGAACTCATAGTTTGGATGTGGTATCTGTAGAGAATCAGGTAGGGCACTGTGGCTTTAAAATAAAGTATGTAATGCTAGGATAAAAGGAAGGCAGTCATTTTCATTACGATAACATCCCTTATGGAGGACTCTTGGACTATAAAGGTGTGTGAAGCTTTTGAGCACTGTAATCTTATATCTATCACATCTACGACTCATGTCTCTACCACTGCCTACCAAAGTGACAAGCTAGTACATCGGCGTACATTTTTGTTTCTGAGAGATATTCAAATAGCCAATCGTACTGGGTCCTCAAATTTGGCAGTGCACAAATACTATCTGTGTTGCGATGTGAATCACGCAGTTATTGTTCATAAACAGGGATAAATTTAATAAGACAAAGAAGTAAATTGAATATTTTTCAACGGTAGTTTTTATTTTGTACAAAGCAATTATCTGAAACTCAAAGCTAATGTTTTAGTTGCATCTTTTCAGTATCCATCAAACAATGTAGTTCGTGTCCAGTACTTTTCATTTTTCAATGTTGTTGATAGGTATACAATCCTCAAACAAAAAAGAAGTGGATTGATACAAATGAAAATTAGAATCAGAATAAGAATGAGAATCTTTATTAGTTTAGTAGACCATCAGTTGATGCTAAAGAACATGTCAGAAAACCGAAAACTAAAAGTAAAAGTTGTAAAAAAGTCGGTATCAAAGAGTAAAACAAATTATATAAAATAAAGAACAAACATTCAATAAACTGAAATCAAAATCGCGGAATATATCATTTACACAAGCCTGAATAAATTACGTAAAACCTTAATGATATTCAAATATTTAAGGGTGTGAATCTACATGAAAAATTAATGTCAGTTTGCTTTATAAACTATGGTCCAAGAATGTTTCCTTACAAAAACTCGGGGAGTTGAAGTTTCAGGAAAAAAATGGAAATTAACTAATATTTTCAGAGCCGCTTCAGATATTTCACTGAAAGTGAACACGTAGTGAAATTTAATAAAGCTGCATATTTTTAAATGCAAAAATAATTTTTAGCTTCAACAGTGGCGTGCGTACGGGTATTGACTTCGATATTTTTTGAGAAAAAAATAGTACGCCAATGGTTTTTTCTCAAGTAAAAATTATTTTTGAATTCCCCGTTCAATTTAAAACAAAGGATCTCATCTGAAATGTTTTCTTTTGATGTGCCATTTTTGGGTAAAAAAATAAAAAAATAAAAACCGTTCTATTGTCCGAGAAAATTAATGTAATAATTGAAGAATGTAATCTAGTTGCTCTGGAATATGTCACTGGCTTTTGATATCTGACAAGTCTCTGTTATTCAAATCTGTTCGCTGTGTCATCTTTTTCATTATTTAGTTTTAACAATCTTATTAATAATGGTGAATTATTCAAACGCAGAAATGGCGAAAACGTATTACGTATATGGCCTTGCTGATGGTAATGGTGAGCAAGCCAGACGGATTTATTACTAGAGATATCCCGATCGTGCTTTGCCAGATAATCGAACCTTTTCTAACATTCATCGTCGTCTTGTTGAAACTGGTTTTGTCCGAAAAGGAACACCTGAAAGTAGACCTCTAAGTGTGACAACACCTGAAATTGAGGAAGCAGTGCTGCACGAAGTCGAAGAACATCCTGAAACGAGTACGAGGAAGATTGCTAGACACTTAAATGTTTGGAGAATTTTAGTGGGTTTTTTGCTATATCCGTACCATATTTTAAGAGTACAGGCATTACTTCCCATTGATTTTCCAAGGCGTGTGACCTTTTGTCAGTGGTATCTTCAAAAAATTACACAAAATCCGCAATATGAATCAATGATTCTGTTCACGGACGAAGCTAATTTTTCTCGAAATGCCATTCAGAATTTCCACAATAATCATTTGCGGGCAGAAGAAAATCCCTATGCCGTAACCGAAACCCGTTTCCAACACCAATTTTCGGTTAACGTATGGGCAGGAATTATTGGCAACCACTTTATTGGCCCATTATTCTTGCCAGAACGACTTGACGGACAGACTTACCTCAATTTTCTGCTTGATGATGTTTTGTTAGTAATAAAAAACAATATGTGGTACATGCATGATGGTGCACCAGCGCATTTCAGTGTAGCGGTTCGTAATTATTTACAAACTGTTTATCCAAATCGTTGGATTGGCCACGGTGGGATCCAAGAATGGCCACCAAGGTCCCCAGACCTCAACAGTTTAGATTTCTTTTTGTGGGGCTATCTAAACACACTAGTGTACACAAGTCCCATTAACACTGTAGATGAATTAAGAAAAAGAATAGTTGCAGCTTGTGATAGAAAAAAAAAGCACTGCAGGGATATTTCAACGAGTGCGCAATTCCATGAGAAGGAGGGCGGAAGCATGCATACATACTAAGTGAAGGAGGCCATTTTCAACAATTTTTGTAATCATTTCGTTGACTTTGATGTTATGTTTATGTTGTCAGCTGTTGTTGTTCATTAACCCTAATGTGTTTAATTTTTCCAATTAAATTAATAATAATTTTTCCAGTTAGACAATAGAACGATTTTTATTTTTTTACTCAAAAATGGCGCATCGAAGGAAAACAATTCAGAAGAGATCATTTGTTTTAAATTGAACGGGATATTCAAAAATAGGTTTTATTTGGCAAAAAACCATTTGCGAACAATTTTTTTCTTAAAAAATATCGAAGTTAATACCCGTACGCACGCCACTGTTAAAGCTAAAAATTATTGTTGCATTGAAAAATATGCAACATTATTAACTTTCACTACGTACTGAATATCAGTAAAATATCTGAAGCGGTTCTGAAAATATTAATTAATTTCCATTTTTTTCCTAAAACTTCGACACCCCGAGTTTTTGTAAGGAAACATTTTTGGACCATAGTTTATGAAGCAAACTAACATTAATTTTTCATTTAGATTCACACCCTTGAATATTTGCATATCATTAAGGAACACCCTGTATACGTAAAATTAAAATGTACCTACGTAAAATTAAAATGTTGATAAAAGAGTAGCACATCTTACAAACAAGAGAAAACCCTAGATGCACAACTTCGCCGTGAAAGCAATAATTGTTAAGCTATATTATATTGTATCAATAAAGAGGAGTAAGCATTTAGCAGATTCTCTAGTCTGTTCTTAAATGAAACCATGTTTTTGCAGATGAAAATGTGTGAGGGAATTTGGAGAAGAAGAGGTAACTGAATGTCTATTGTGATCATTAAACTTTGGAAAATCTGTCAAATTTGTTTTCGCGTAGATCAGCAGGTCTCGGATGTAAATAGATGATTAATATTCTCAGCTGTCTAAAATATTCCCTACAACTTGTTCTTCTACAGGGTGTCCAGTGGGAAAGTTCACTTTTTAATTTAAGAAAAAAATACAAACTTAATGAAAAGAAAATATGTTTCACGGAACCTCTTGATTCACTTTTTCAATAGGTTCTTACCTGGGGCATCTCTTGGTCGGCGAACCTTGTATCGTGTACAAAATTTCCGAAGGGAAGCTGCGTATGCATAACCACTCTTGAAGTAAGCACGTTGCGCTCCGGTCCAACGTTCCATTGTGACTATTTAACCCGCTCGCCGAACGCGTCGATCAAGACCTCTCCTCACTTCCTCGCGTATACGGTTGCCGCGTAATTCAAACTTGAAATGTGAACTTTCCCACTGGACATCCTGGACTTATACCCACAATTAACCTAACCAAGCCATTTGTGATCCTGTATGCCTAAAAATTTTGTTGTGTGGCCATGTTCTATTGATCCATCCAATTGTCTGATGAAAAAGCTGTTACTGAAGCTATGAATTGCGAGGCCAAACATAATAAATCGTGCTTTTTATCTCAGAAACCGTCACCATTATCGACAATGGTGGTCTCACTGAGTGAAAAGGGATTTTGTACAGAGGAAGTTTTGAAACTAAAAGATTATACCATTTCGATTCAAGAGAAATTAATAAAAGAATTGTACGAAAAGATAGACCAATTAAACAAAAAAATTGGGAAAATTAAACAGCCGTCACAAGAAGCAATTACAACTTACGCTAATATGGTTAAAGCTTCAGGGCCTTCAACCGTTAATTCGCCTACAAAAATGGTAGAATATAAGCAACAATGCGTACCATTACAAACATGTACAGCAAAAAAACAATCACCAGTATTAAAACCCACAAATACAGTCATTATTAAGCCTAATAACCAACAAGAGTGTAATAACACAAAGAAAGACATCGCAAAATTTGTGAATCCTACCAGTTTGAAAATTGCTATTGAAAAAGTTTATGAATTGAAAGATGGTGGGGTGAAAATCCAATGTAAAACAAAAGATGATAACGCGAAGCTACATAATGAAATAAAATCAAAAATGCCAGAAACATATACAGTGAAAACTTCAGAGATAAGTAAAAAACCACAAATCAAAGTTATTGGATTTTGTCAAGAATATGCAGAAGACGAGCTAATAAATACTATAAAATCACAAAATGAATCTTTTCAAGAAAATTCACATATGAGAGTAATTACAGTCAAGAAAATGAAAACTAAATATCAAGCAATTTTAGAAGTGGATGCTGTGACTTTTAAGTGTGTTATGAATCAGGGTGTTATTTTTATCAACATGTCTGTTTGCTCTGTTTTCGAGTACATCAATGTTTTGCGATGCTATAAATGTACCGGATTTAACCACACAGCTAAATACTGCACAAAATCAGGAAGATGTCTTACTTGTGGATTAGAAGGACATTCAACAGAAAACTGTAGTACCAGTGAAATGTACAAATGCTGTCCAAATTTTAAAAGTGCAAACCAGGATTTTAATCTAGGATTACCTATTAATCATGGACCATTTGACAAAAATTGTGAAGTATATAAAAGGAAAATTGAACGTGAGAGGGAAAAAATTAATTATGCAAATGAATAGCAACTACTAAGCTCAGATTTGCAAGACGTGGCTAAATCTATAAGTGATGAATATAACTCAATATACCATTTAAACATACAAGGAGTCCTGAATAATATAGATGAAGTTCAACAGTTTTTAAGATGGAGAAAACCACTTGTATTATGTCTTACCGAAACACATGCTACAGAAGACATCACTGATGATGAATTACAAATTACTAATTATAAAACCTACAGATGCAACTCCAACTCCAGACATACTGGAGGTGTAGTGATTTATGTTTACCACAAAATACAGATCACATCATTCGATTGTACCACTTTAGACTATGAATACTAGTATGCACATATACAGTTCAAATTATTTGGGAAACGTTATGATCTTTGTACTTTTTACCGTTCACCAAACAGTGATGCAGATACATTTTTAACGTTTTTTGAAGAAAAATGCGAAGAAATGTGGAATTTTAGAAACAATATAATACTTTTAGGTGATTTTAATTTAAATTATTATGGTAAAAGCATGAAAACAAGAAAATTGAAAGAAACCATAAACAACTATGGGTTCAAGCAAAAAATTGAAGAGAGTACCAGAATAACATCATTATCAGAGACTTTGTTAGATCTTGTTATTGTAAATTTCGAATGTGCAGGGATTAAAGCTGTACATACACCTAAAGTTAGCGATCACAGTTGGACAATGCTGCCCTTGGTAGGGCATTTTTCTGATACAAAAATTAAGAAAATCGTAAATACTATTAATTACGAACAACTTGAACGAGAACTTGCTGGCTGCTATTGGAATTTTGGTGAGAACATGGAAAAAATATATGACAACATAATAGGAAATATAAAAACTTGTTTAGATCTTGCAACTGATAAAAAAGTGATTGGCTCGACAAAAATACTCCCTGGTATAACAAAAATATTAAGGCAGCTCAAAATTCGAGAGACAAACAATACAATAAATGTATATTCACAAAATCAAATGATGATTGGGAGGTATATAAAAGTCTTAGGAATAAATGTGTATATGTAATTAGAGAAGAAAAAAAAATTCTACGATAAACAAATCGATAATAACAAGTGCGACAGTGTAAAGATGTGGGAGACTTTAAAAAGACTGATCAATTCGAAGCCGCATGATTGTGTAAATCAAGTTCAATTCGAAAACGGTACCGAAACAAATTCTTTGGTGATTGCAAACAAACTAAATGAATATTTTGTGGAAAGTATTGTTGATATTGTAGGTACTGCCAATGCTGCACCTGACTATATGAAAATCAGTTTCCAGGGGGAAATGTTGCATACACTTTCAAAATTTCACAGCGTATCATTGAATTATCTAAGAAAAAAAGTAAACAGTTTAAAATCAAATAACAACTGTGCCGAAATGACTACTAAAAACGTGCTGAAAAACTGTTTCGAAATTTTGGGATATCCTGTATTAAATTGGATCAATTGTTCACTGAGAAGCAGTTCTTTCCCTGAAAATTTGAAATGCTCTACAATAACACCAGTTCCCAAAATAAAAAATTCTAAAAGATGCAGCGATATGAGACCAGTAAATGTGTTACCAGACATTGAAACATTATTAGAGTCCATAGTACATGACCAATTAATGCAGTTTATAGAAGAAAACAAAATTTTAGTGGAGGCGCAAGCAGGCTTTCGAAAAAAATATTCCACAGAAACAGCTTTCCAGTTGGTAACTGAGAATTGGAGAAGAGCCATAGACTCAGAAGAAGTTGTCATAGCAGTATTTTTGGATTTGAAGAGGGCATTTGAAACGATTGATAGAGATATTTTGTTAGGTAAATTGAAGGCATATGGTATAACAGGAAGTGTTTTAGATTGGTTTAGAAATTATTTGTCTAAAAGGATGCAAGTTAGAAAAGCTAATGACACTATTTCATCAAAAATTGAAAATACGTTGGGTGTTCCACAGGGCAGTATCCTGGGATAACTTCTTTTTATTTTATACATAAATGATTTACCTGCCGTAGTCAAAAAATACAAAATTCAAATTTTCGCCGATGACACTATGATTTATATAAGTACTAAAAATATTCAGTCTGGTATCTCTTATATAAATGAAGACTTGAAGCATGTCTCAAAATGGTTAGCATCTAACAGACTAAAATTAAATGCAAGTAAAACGAAAGCCTTGTTAATCGGAAAAAAACAATGTACAAATGTTCAACTGAATATTGATGGTGAAGATATTGAATTCGTAGAAAATTTTAAATACCTGGGAGTTTTTGTTGACTCTCGATTAATTTTTGATATTCATTATGAAAAAGTTATAAATAAGATTAGTAGTAAAGTGGGATATTTATCGAGAGTTTCTGGATGTCTGAGTTCATATAGCAGAAAAATTATCTATAATACCATCATTCTTCCAAATTTCTTGTACTGTTCGACTGTTCTATATTTAGCAAATAATTCCATTTTTGAAAGACTGCAAATTTTACAAAATAAGTGCATGAGAATAATACTAAATAAAGATAAATATACTCCAATTAGGCAAATGCTTAGCAAATTAAAATGGCTCAATGTAAAAAATTTTATCAAATATCTTGTAATGATATTCATTTATAAAGTAAAAAATAATATATTTCCATCAAGTTTAACTAATTTAACATCATCAAATGTCGACCATCATTTACATAATACCAGAAATAAAGATGACTTCCATTTAATGACCAAAAAGTATAACATATGCTACAAATCTGTATTCCATCAAGGGTTGATTGAATATAATAAATTATACTCGGAGATAAAAGACCAGAAAACTTTGACAAAATTTAAAGTAAAATTGAGAAATCACTTGTTAAATCTACAATTATAGGTTGCCCAGAATTTACATCATACACCACATGGCTTGAATTTACTAGTTCTAAGTTGTTTACAATTGTTCTGTTTATGTAGCCAAATGTGCTAAATAAATCTTTCTACTACTACTACTGATTGCCTGAACACTATCATTTCATATGAAATGTCAACAACTGTCAATTTCAAACGGGCTGCTCAAGCCTGATCGACTTGTAGTATGAACATTCATCCCGACTACAGAGATTTTGGAGAATAAGACATCATCGACTTGCTAGTCTGAATTCGTTGGCGACGACATAACAATTTTAAGCTTCAGCTTGAAACAGCATTTTTTCTGATAAATGTTTTTTGAAAAGTTTCTCGACTCGCATACAGAAGGCGTTGTTATCAGAAAACATATCACTTCGCTGGATTACTAAACACTCCATAAAATACGTATGGTAAATGTATGAGGAAGCGATGCTCCTTCACGATCAATAGTATTTAATGGGATTACTGGATTCAAAGGTGGTCGTATGTCCATGATGAGGTACACCCAAAAGCTGCTACCAACGATAATTTGTTAGTTCTATTCACGATATAAGTTATGTAGTGAATTTAAGCGAGATTATATTGAAGAATGAATGTATCTACTGAGGCAAACTAATATTTTTTCTTGGAGAGTCCGGAAGCTTTCCAAATAATCTGGTACTATGGAACTGTTTGAAATCAAATCTAACGCAAAAATATCTCATTTTTCCTATTGTACAATGTTAGTTGCTCAAAAGTTTACACTAAATAATTTTATTTACAGATTGATAGTGTCCTCATTGGTACCAGCATCCACAATGAAATACAAGCTTTTATCACAGACCCAGTGGATTTCAAAAAATCATTGAGTGGTAAACCAAGAGTGAGGTAAAACAATATTACAATTTGTTACAGAATATTGCAAGGAATATTTAGGCGGAGGTTTAGTACGTACTCGTAGAATAATCAAAACATTTCATCAAGATGGGTGACGCAGGGTGCTTAGTAATGTCCGTTTAATCAAAAATTGTCCAAATCTGGTTTTTGCACAAGTGTCGATTTCTTAAAGCGTCCCTTGCAGTTTCCGTTAGTTGTGTTAATGACTATTTTGAATAGTAATAGGTAGATAGATGGATCCGGCATCAACACATCTCGTCAACAGCGGCAGCTGCATGGAAAAAGCTGGGCTATTTGTTTATAGTTAAGAAGTACTTTTCTTCGCATGACCTTCTCCCTCTAGATAAGGTCTAGCCTTGAGTATCGCTCACACGCTTGTGATGCTGCCGCTCCAGCTACATTATTCACGCTGATACTGACCAGAGGAGGGCTGTTCAACTGATCGATGACTCTTACCTAACGGACAGTCTCGGCACCCTCTCGGTCCGTCGGCGATCTAACCCTCTTCCACCGCTACACCAACGGACTCTACTCCTCAGAGCTCTCTTCCGTGATGACTGCCAGACAGACCCGCCTGGCTTTGGCCTCCCATCCTAGCCGTATCGAACTTCGTACATCCAGAACTGGTCGATACGACCGCTCCTTTGACGCGAGGGTGTCGAGATTGTGGAACAATCTACAAGAGGAAGCGGTGTACCGGTACTTAGGCTTCTGCCTGTGCGGCTGCTTCGGTATAAAAGAAGTCGATGTACTGGTTGATAAAATGATTTTTATTTCGCAAACGAACAACCCGAACAGATATATTTTATGTAGAATCGATCTGGAACCAGAAACGTATTATTGTTTTGCTAAATATGGAGATTTCCATGCATGAAGGTCACTGACGTTAATGCTTAAGAAAACAATTTTGGTTAATAATATGTGATACAGGACCCGTTCCATTATCGATATTTTTACCATGCATCGAGCTTAGTAGGTTCTCGACATTTATTGCTAAGATTATCAGGACATCAGGTGTAAAGGATATCAATCATTAGCATGAGACAATTGGGTTTGTTATGAGTGACCATACAGGGTGTTAATTTGAAAACTTCTCAACACGAATTTATCGAAAACCACTGATTAAGAGAAAAAACGCCGAGACAAGTCAAAAGATATGTCAAAGGGGACAACTCTTTAACCAAAAACTACTTCACCCCTTTTCACCCTGCCCCCAGGGTCATTCCCTTAAACATTTTAAATGACAAGAGATATCGAGTAACAACTTGTTTGAAAGGTCTCTCAAAGTTCTTTATTTTGACGTTTGATATTTTTAAATCAATCGATTCGTTTTCAACAAAATTAGAAAAATCCTTGGGTATTTCTCAGCAAATTTCGGAATTCATGTCCTGAGCCATTGATACTAAGTTGCATGGATTTATCATCAATTTAATATTTTCATTATATCAATAAGTATCTAAACTAATATTTTAGAAGCCAAAATTTAGATAATATATTGACACAAAAAATACAATTAATTTTTTAGTGTAAAAGTCATTCCCTCATCTTGTCCCTAGGTCCGAAATTAATAATAAAAAAATATATACAATCAAATCTGTTCATATTCTTATAAATTGAATATCACTAAAGTATTTGGTAATAAGTATGGATTGTAGAGTCAAGCTTTCATTGCTAAAAAATAAATATGTATGTAAAAAATCAATCTAAGCATTATGTCCCTTGAAATGAAATCATTCCCTCACCCATTATGATTATTAGATTTGTGGTCACATCATTTGATATTTTTGATCGCAGCTATTATGTTTTTAAAACTTGGCAATACTGCTAATAATGTCTACATGGCAGAATTTCGTAATACTGAAAAGAGTTGCTGCAAGAAAGCATTGGATTTCAATAATTAGGACATTACATTTCTGTGTTATTACCTCACTGTATATATTAAAAGGTAAGTCAGCATACTGCTCGAATGTTTTGAAGATTTTTTATTGTTTTGGGGAGTACAATGCATTCATTGTCTCTTTATTTTCTTTTTGTCAATGTATTTGAGCTTTTCCTACATTTGTAGGGCGCGTTTATGGCCTGCTTTATTGTCATACTCCTTTCTCTCCTTCAAAAATTTCCAGATTACACTTGTCCCGTGTCAGCGTCAGCGCTCTTCTATTGTGAAGATATGTTTTCTTTTTAAATTGTAGGAAATTTTAGGCTGATAAAACATGATATAACTCAAAAGCAAGCGCAATTTGATGCAAATAGATGTTTGTGACATAACCTCAAAACAGTGTTCTGACACGGAGAAGTAGAAATCTATGACAATCAAGGAGGCCATAAACGCGCCCTACAATTGTAGGGACGACTGACGATATGGGCCTAAATTACATTTTTCGTTTGTTTTTCTAGGATAGCTTATATCAAGTCATCTAGATCTCTCACAAACGTGACAGTGAGCTTAATATCTAGTTCAGGACTGCAGGACGTATATTTTGTACACGACTATAGCTCAAAGTCCAGTTTAGCTGTGTCAGAGTATATGGAATTGCCCCAGGGAGTGTGAGTTCAATCTAATACGGACATCTGAAAAATCATTATCAAAATCAATAATATTTTACTTACACTAACATCCATACTTTTACTTCAGTTCTAATTGTCTGGATATTTTTCCTGACATTACCATAATAATTCACCAAATTATACAGTATTAACGGGTTTTTTCTTTTTTTTTCATACACTGACTGTACTATTAGTTTTTATTTTGTACAAACCCAAACACAAGTGCAAACTTTTTTTGGGTGCTTTATGTTTATTGTGCAAAATATTTGATATTTACTTGTATTTTGTGACAATAAACATTATTATTATTATTATTATTATTATTATTATTATTATTATTATTATTATTATTATTATTATTATTATTATTATTATTATTATTATTATTATTATTATTATTATTATTATTATTATTATTTATTAATTGCCAAAAAACATTTACAAAACCTCACAAATGAAAGTGCTCGTTTAACCGCTGTTTTATTTTAGGTATGAATGCAGAATAAGCAGTAGCGAAAACCCACACTTGTATGAAAAACACTTCCATCTAGCTTTAGGAGGGGTATATTCTTTAATAATACGTGAAGGGCTTCAAGAAATAGCGGTACATATTTTATATATACATACGAGGGTGGTTCCAGAAATACCCGGCCTGACCTAGAGATGGCGATAGTTGTTTGAAAAATATCATTGTATTAGAAAGTATGCAACCTATAAAGCATATGTGTCAGGTTTGAAGACGCCACATTGTTTAGTATTTGTTTGGCAGTCATCAATACTGAACGTTTTCAGTGAATTTGTGAAAATGGAGAAAATTGGTCATCGTTATGTGGCACAATACTTTTATTTCAAAGGCCTCAGCCCAACTAATATAAAAGCTGATCTGGATTATACTCTGGGTGAGTCTGCGCCTTCGTTTACAACAGTGAAATATTGGGTAGCAGAGTTTAAACTAGGCCGTATGAGCTGCCAGGACGAGCATCGCAGTGGTCGACCAAAAGAGGTGACGACTCCAGAAATGGTGAAGAAGATTCACAAAGCGGTACTGAATGATCGTCGACTGAAAGTGCGCGAGCTAGTAGACATAGTGGGTATTTCAAAAAGTGCGGTTTATCGCATATTATCTGAAAATTTGGACATGAGAAAGCTGTGAGCAAGATGGGTGCCGCGATTGCTCACAATCGAGCAAAAACAGTGTCGTGAAGATGTTTCAATTGAGTGTTTAGCGAACAAAGCAGAATTTCTGCGACGTTTCATAACCATGGATGAAACATGGGTCCATCACTTCACACCCGAGACAAAAGATCAATCAAAACAATGGACTCAAAAGGGACAACCGGCTCCAAAGAAGGCGAAGGCCGTTCCATCTGCAGGCAAGGTTATGGCGTCGGTTTTTTGGGATGCGCGTGGGATAATATTCATTGACTATCTTGAAAAAGGTAAACCTATCGGCGGCGAGTATTATGCGAACTTATTGCAAGGTTTGAACGATGAAATCAAGCAAAAGCGGACGCATTTGGTTAAGAAGAAAGTGTTGTTTTATCAAGGCAATGCACCAGCTCACAAATCCGTTATTGCAATGGCCAAAATTAACGAATTAAAGTTTGAATTGCTACCTCATGCACCCTGTTCACCAGATTTAGCCCCCTCGGATTATTTTCTGTTTCCAAACTTGAAAAAACGGCTCAGTGGTCAAAGATTTTCCAACGATGCAGAAGTGATGTCGGCAGTTAACGGCTATTTTGAGGAGCAGGACAGTTCTTATTATAAAAAGGGTATCGAACTTATTGAACATCGCTGGGAAAGGTGTATAGAACTCAAAGGAGATTATTTTGAAAAATAAATACATTTAAAAAAAAATGTGTTTTCTTCGTTGGGTCGGGTACTTCTGTGGCCACCCTCGTACATATCCATATATTGTTTTTAAATTGTTGAAATTTCTTTTTTAGTTTATCAAGTTGTACACGATGTCGACACCCAATACTCTGAACATTCTGTGGCAAGTACCACAATACGTTCTGATTTCTGTCGCAGAAATCATGTTCGGCGTTGCAGGATTAGAGTTTTCATTCACCCAGGTATTTGATAAATTCGATGCAAAAGCAAGTTCCTGAATACACCAGATTCCTCGTAGTCAGGAATGTTCAAATAACCATTCGTCTTGCAACCGGACATAACATATTAATTCGAACTATACCCCATTCGTAGTCCATTTACGTCTAGACAACACACAACATGCCCAAAAGCGAGATTGTACAGGTTCGAATTTTCCTCAATGGTCTTGGAATAATCTAACAAAATGTATGATTATTTTTTAAGAAGTGCACGTACTTTTCACAACTCTTTTTTTGCTAGAAGTATATGAATATCGATCATATTGTCCAGATCCCACATCTTTGTTTCGATTGCCTATTGAACGTGACGGATGCAATCTTTCCAATGGTTTGTCGTCACTATGTTGACAGCTTCATAAAACAAAATTTTCACGCCAGGAAATTTGAATGTTATATTTTTTGAAGCCACATAGTTTTTAACATTTGCCCAAATCATTTCAATGGGATTTAATTCGCAGTGATAAGGGGGCAGTCTTAAAATGATCTTATTTTAGTTTTTAGCCATTTCGTCAATAACATTAAGATTATATTTATATTTGTGCTGCCTGACATGATGGACACGTTCTACTTTGACCATATTTTCATTGGAACTAATGCCTTTTGATAGGAGCAATTGTTGAATTTCCTTTCTTGTGGACATTGTGGGAATGTTATCTAGTTTTCTAGTGTGATATGCACCATTATCAAGTATAAGGACGGCATTGTCGTCAAGCTTTGGGAGCGTTTCTTCAAACCATCATTCAAATAAACTTCCGTGCATTTCTTCATGGTAGTCGGTAGTGGGCACAAAGCCATCTTGACTGCCACTGTGACAGATAAGAAATCGTTTCCCTTTTCCTGGAAATAATTATTTCATATACTCGTAGTATTCAAGAAAACTAATAATAATACAAGTTTTCAGCGTGGCCTCATAGATTCAGTCTACTTGACACCACTTTTACAATACAAATGACGAATTGGTTAAATAGACGTACCTGACGCATTCTTTAGGCCAGTGCTTGGTCTATCTTAAAAGGCTTGTCTGGCTGATTTAATTGTAGAATCAGCCCATAATTACGTTTTGTATGTCCTGCATTTATCCAGGTTTCATCCAAGTAATAAACCTTCCTGCCTTGGTCACGGTATTGCTTTATTGATTTTAAATACAGTAGTGACTCGATAATCCGAATTGCTATAAGCAGCGGTGGCCGCAGCAGTAGACTCTTCGGTCTCCTGATCAGTCGCCGTGCGCTGTACGGGTTCAAATCCCGTCCCAGGAGAAATTTTTCTCTTGGCTATGGATGTTGTGATTGTCCGTAGGTGGTAGACGGTCTCTGACTGTCGAACGCGGAAGTACCACCCGGCGGATCTCGTAGGCGGAGCCAGAATGTGTGCATGTTGCATACACACGTGTTCCCTCGCGACCGTCCGTGTGGCGTTCCTCGTTTCTCCTGTATCCCCCTATAGCCCCACGGTACCCAATGGGTGTTTAGATCTTAAGCCTTCCTGGTAGCTGGAGTATAAAGAAAACAAATCCGGATATTCCAATAATTCGGACCTGTCTCGCAGACTCTGTAATCCGGATTGTCATGTTTCGCTAGTCCGGATCAGATATTAAGTTCTTAACAAGTTCAATCTTGTTAAATATCACACCACGAACTACGCGATCGGGACGCAAATACTCGTAAAGCAGAACCTTTCCACGGATCAGTCATTCAACATTCCTACACGAAAACACATAACTTTGTGGATCCAAAAGAAGGCTGAAGTTTTAGATCAACTAAAACGAGGTGATAGTGGTAAAAAGTTAGCTGCAATGTATGGAGTGGGAACATCCACCATATCAGATATTAAGAAAAACAGAGGCAAGATAGATGCGTAAGAGTTATACAATTTTGAAAAAAATATTTTTATATTCAATGCATTGAATATTTTAGTTTTATGAAGAAATGCATTTCTGGTCCCGGTAGCAGAAAAACTTTACGGTCTGCTGAACATCCTGCAATGGAAAACGAGTGGTTTGGCACATAGTAAGCTACGATATTCTAGCAGAAAAAGCAACATTTTTTTTTAAAATATGGTACAATAAAGTTACATTTGAAGCGAGCAGGGGTTGGCTCTTGAAATTCAAGGCACGTCAAGCATCTTCAGATATGCGGCGAAAAACTCTCTAACGATAATTTTGCTGTTGAACCTTTTATAGAAAAGTTAACTCGGATCGTAAAAGAAAAAGGGCAATCTTCATGTCAAATCTATAATGCTGATGAGTCCAGCTTGTTTTGGAAATTGATGCCGCAACGAATACTAGTCCACTTAAAGGAAAAATCAGCTGGCGTGTACAAATGGAAATGGTTCGCACAAATTGATACTTTTGGTAATCGGCAAATCCAGAAATCCAAGGGTTCTTAAAAAACAGAGGCACGAGTTTACCGGTGGAGTATACGTCTAGTAAAAATACATGGATGGCTTCTTATTTATTTAAAGAATGGTTTCATAAATCATTTTGCAAGCAAGTTTCGGAATTCATGAAAAAAGAAGACATTCCAGAAAAAGCTTTACTTCTCATTGATAACGCACCTAGCCACTGCAGTAAAAAGGAATTGGTTTATCAAGATGGAAAAATAATCACAATGGACCAAAAAGCGATAAGATTAACCAAATTATTTTATGGAAAGAGTTCATTGGCTCACATTTTCAAGCAAGAAAACAATGACCTTAGTAAATTTTAAAAAAACTTCAATCTAAAAGACGCAGTTTGATTATTACATAATGCATGGACAAAAGTGTCAACAACTGCCGTAGAACAGTATTGGAAAAATTTTTTAGCTGAAAACTTAAATTATGACCCGGAATATTTAATACCATTAAGCGTACTGCGCGTACAGATAAAGCAGGAAATGGAGACTATTGAGAACAATGCTAGAAAAAACATCATCTGAATAATTTACAGAAGGGGAAATCTTGGAGTGGGTGGAAGAAACTGAAGAGCATACTCTTCAAGACGAATTTCAAGATGACTATTGTGAAAATTCACTAAGTGACGTAGAAATACAAAATGGAAACCAATTTACTGTTCCTAAAGTTAAACATGAAGAGGCAATTGCGCATTTTACAGCAGGGATTAAATGGGCAGAAGACAACAATATTGCACTTACCTCAATCGTTGCCTTAAAAGACTTAAGAGAAGAAGCTGTTATTTAGGCCCGTATCGTCAGTCGTTCCTACAATTGTAGGGCGCCTTTTTAGCCTCCTTGATTGTCCTAGTTTTCTACTTTTCCGTGTCAGCGCTCTATTTTGAGGTTATGTCTATTTGCATTAAATTGTGCTTGCTTTTGAATTATATCATGTTTTATCAGCCTGAAATTTCCTACAATTTAAAAAGAAAACATGTCATCAAAACAGCAGAGCGCTGACGCTGACATGGGACAGGTGCAATCTAGAAATTTTTGAAGGAGAGAAAGGAGTATGACAATCAAGGAGGCCATAAACGCGCCCTACAATTGTAGGAACGACTGACGATACGGGCCTAAGTTGCATTCTGAATATATCAGTCAAACAAAAATAACTGATTTTTTAAGAACTAATTTTTTTTTTTACTTTTTTATGTATTTGCTTATTTTAGCTATGTAGATAATTTATGTTTCAGTTTTTATGAAATAAACATGTTTGTAATATCAAGAACTTGTTTTCCTTATGATTCCCACTAATCCGGATTTTTCGTTAGTCCGGATTGCAGCTGGTTTTAATTGATCCAGATTATTGAGTCGCTACTGTAATTTCTTCTTCGTAAAAAAATCCCTTGGCTGTCCATCAGAATACTATTTCTATACTCAAAATGAGTAAACTATAGAATATGGTCCTGTTGAAAGTAGGTAATAAGTCTTCATCACTATTAACCTCCTGTAAAACTTTGTCTATGGTGGGAAGTTCCTGCCTTTCAAAAAATTGATGGACTTTGCCTTTGTTGGCATTCCGATCGAAGTTATTAACTGTATCCAACAGCTTTGTGTAATGCAGCCCCTTGTATGGTGGAGACAATTTTTTGTCTTTTTATATTCTGTAACAATATTGAAAATCGTCTTAGGACATAAGCCTGTTTTGTTCACCACACGTCTTTCAATGTCATGAATTTTCATTTCAGGATGCTATTAAATTTCGCTTTTATAAACGTTAAGGACAATTTATTTTGCCCGAATATTCAAATAATATTATAATAATATTCTTCTCACGTCTTCGGGGAGGAGACATCATTCTCAGTTTTATCTGCTATATCCGTAGACGACGTGCTAACGTATAAACACGCTATCTATGCACCGACAATGAACAGCAACTGCCGACGTCGGCGTGCCGGCGATACCCCGAGCCTGAGTTCTATCCTGCCGAAGCCTGCACTTGTTCGTAGTTTTATGGCCATAGTTCTCGTTTGGATTTCGTAGCAAACGGACGTGCTGATAAGCGAATCGACGAGTACGAGTACGAGTATAAATAATATAATCATAATAATAAAAAAGTGTTCCATAACAAAAGCTGTAAAAACGTGAAACAAAATAAGTGTCGTTAGTTAGCAGTGAAAGAGCTGGTGGCACCGGTTATGCAGCTGGTCTAAAACATTTCCTCAACAATGACTCATAGCCAGGATGTGTCAGTAATAGAGCATAATCAAATACTAAGAATGTCATCAACAAGTGAAGAAGAATTAGAGGACTCACAACAAAATAGAAATAACCCGTGGCAAGTGATGAGAAGCGTTAAAAGGAGGAAAGTTGCCAAAGAGCAGAACAAAGAAACAACGGAAACTGTAACTGTAAACAACAGATTTGATATCCCAGCAGACAAAACAGATGATAATGTCGGAAATAACACTCAACGGATTCCAAAGCCACCCCCAATCTTTGTTCATGGAGTGATCAACTACGAGGAAATGGTCAACACCATTAGAGACATATTAGAAGACGAGCAATATATCACGAAGAGCCTCGCAAACAACGTTGTGAAAATAAACTGCGCAACCCCAGAATCATACCGTAAGCTCATCAGAAACTTCAAAGAAAATAGTATCTTTCACCATACCTACCAACTGAAAGAAGAGCGATCATACAGGGTAGTGATAAGGTATCTACATCACTCTACAAAAATCCATGATATAAAAGAGGAGCTGGGAAAACTGGGTCACAAAGTGCGCAGCATAATAAATGTTCTTCATAGGACTACCAAAGAACCACTAAACTTATTCTTTGTGGATCTTGAGCCAGCCGAAAATAATAAAGATATATATATAACATCAGAGGATTACAGAATAAAACTATTCAAATAGAGCCACCCAGACCTAGAAAAAACAATATCATCCAGTGTATGAGGTGCCAACAATTTGGACATACTAAAACATACTGCAACAAACCATACTTATGTGTGAAATGTGGTGGTCCCCATAATACTAAGGACTGCAAGAAGCCGAAAGATGCGCCAGCAAAATGTGCCCTTTGTGGTGGCAGTCATACTGCAAACTATAGAGGCTGCGAACACTACCACAGAACATTGAAAAATAAAAATCCCACCTTCCAAACACCCCTACCACCTATAACTAGTGAACCAGCTTATGTTAACAATGTTGAGCCCGCCACTAACCGCCAATACTCAAGAACGTATGTAGATGCAGTAGCCAACAACACTGAAAACTCGGTAAGTCTAACTTCTACAATGAATAAATTCCTGGATGAATTTAAAAATATGTTCAACCAGCTCCTACAACAAAACAGTCTGATCCTCAATATGATTGCCACGCTAATCAACAAAATCAATTAAAATGGCCAATTTTCTAAGAATTGCCCAGTGGAATGCCAATGGTCTTCCTAGTCATAAAGAAGAAGTTAAATTGTTTTTACAGCAAAACTATATAGACGTCCTACTAATCAGTGAAACACATTTCACTGAAAGAAGCTATTTTTCTATACCCGATTATATACTTTACAATACCAATCATCCCGATGGTACAGCACATGGAGGAGCTGCAGTACTTATTAAAAAAGCAATCAAACACCACGAAATGCCTAAGTATGAAGAAAACCATATCCAGGCAGCATCTGTAAAAGTAAACAGTCTTCCTTACGATATAACAGTATCAGCTGTGTACTGTCCACCACGTCATAACCTCAAAAAAGAGCAATTCAAAAATTTCTTTATAAATCTTGGTCCAAAATTCATTGTTGGGGGGGGGACTACAATAGCAAGCATACCACATGGGGCTCACGGCTCACAACAACAAAAGGAAGAGAACTGATACAAGTCATATTAGAAAACAACTACACGTTTATTTCACCAGAAGCACCTACTTATTGGCCTACAGATGTAAACAGACTTCCCGATCTTTTAGACTTCTTCATAACTAGTGGCATATCTTCATCTTATACAGAAATATCTTCAAGCTTTGACCTCACATCAGACCACAACCCAATTACCCTAACTCTGAGCGCAGCAGTGATATGTAAGAAACCCACTCCAAGATTGCATAATAACAAAACAAATTGGGATAGATACAAACAGATAATTGTAGATAACATCAATCTCTCAACCAGATTGAAGCAGCCAAATGATATAGAGGTCGACTGCAATAGCTTTATTTGTACACTCCAACAGGCAGCGAAAGAATCCACACCATTCATAGACTGTGCTTACAAAACAAAAAATATCCCCGTTGAAATAAAGAAGCTAGTTGCAGAGAAGAGAAGAGCACGATCAATCTGGCAACTTACCCGCACGCCAGCCAGCCGAACAAAGTACAACACCTGCTGTAATAAGCTAAAGTCTAAACTCCAAGAAATGAGGAATGCCTCCGTAGAAGGCTACGTATCTCAACTCACGAGACAAGATAACTCCATATGGAAGCCCATAAAAGCTAAGAGAAAACCTCATTCTACATCACCCCCAATCCGTAGCCAAACAGTAGCTAATGGTCAATGGGCAAAAAGCGATAAAGAAAAAGCTGACGCATTTGCACAACACCTTGCCGAAGTGTTCATCCCACACAATGACGATCCAGTGCAGGAAGTAGATGAAGCCAATCTCATCCATCTTTTAACTCAAGAACGGTTAGCACCTTTCTCTCCGAAGGAATTACAAAATGAAATAAACAGGCTAAATATAAAAAAAGGTCCCGGAGCTGACATGCTCACAGGCAAAATGTTACAAGAACTTCCCAAGAAAGGCTTGATGAAATTGCTTTATATATTTAATGCGATTATAAGGCTAGACTACTGGCCCATGTCCTTCAAGAGTGCGCTAATAATTATGGTACCGAAACCAGGAAAAAATCTAATGGATATTAGTTCTTATCGCCCGATCAGCCTCTTGCCAGTAATTTCTAAGCTTTTGGAAAGACTTATCCTGAATAGAATAAATGGCCAACTGGATCGGCTAGCTTGGATCCCTAATCATCAGTTTGGCTTTAGGCCGGCTCACTCAGCTGTGCAGCAGTGTCACCGCCTTTCGGATATAATCGCCAAATCCTTCGAAAGAAAAGAATACTGTACGGCAGCCTTCCTAGATGTGAAGCAGGCATTTGATAAAGTGTGGCATCCAGGCTTGTTGCATAAAATAAAGAAAGTATTGCCAGCCAAGTACCTCAAGTTGCTACAATCCTACTTAAGTGACCGCTGCTACAAAGTTAAAGTAAACAGTGAGACTTCAAGCTACTACCCTATGAAATCAGGAGTCCCACAGGGCAGCATACTGGGTCCCTTACTATATGTCGTATATACAGCGGATATACCCACAACAACTGAAACAACAGTTGGCACATTTGCAGACGATACGGCGATTCTTGCAACTGATGAAGATCCTGACCACGCTTCAAGTAAACTACAGAGGCACCTAGACGATATAGGAAGTTGGCTGAACAAATGGAAGATCAAAGTCAACGAAACCAAATCCACGCACATCACCTTCACTTTCCGCAAAGGACAATGCCCAGCTGTTTCCTTGAATCAAGTCACCATACCTCAACATGCAAGTGTTAAATACCTGGGATTGCACATGGACGACAAAATAAACTGGAAGCAACATTTATCCAAGAAAAGAAAACAGATGGACTTGAAAAGTAAAGAGTTAAATTGGCTGATAGGACGCAAATCAAAACTAAGCATAGAAAACAAGTTACTGATATACAAAGCCATCATCAAGCCCATTTGGACTTACGGGATCGAACTCTGGGGCTGCGCTAGCAAGTCAAACCTTTCAATCATTCAACGAGCTCAATCAAAAATCCTTAGAAGCATTGCAGATGCGCCTTGGTATGTCTCAAATGAAACGCTCCATAGGGATCTGAAAATCCCATTCATCAGGGAAGTCATCATCGAAAGAAGTTGCAAACACCATGCTAGGCTTAGCGACCATCCAAACCCACTGCTGCCATCGCCATTAGATCCCACTGAGACCAGGAGACTGAAAAGGAAATTGCCACTAGACTTGCAAGACTGAGGTGACATCGTTGGATGTCTGCTTCATCCCGTCATGAGGTACAACTACTTAAAAATTGTACCATCCAGCAAATTAGTTTATAGAATGTACATACACTCTGATCGCTAATAAAGTAGAGAAAAAAAAAGTTTTATGGCCAAATGATCAATAGATATTGCAACGCTTAGGCGGCTGCCGCTTTGCCGCGCTGCATCTTTGTTGTGCCGGAGCGTAAATAGACTACGAATAGGGTATATAATTTAAATTTTCAACCGCCTCTATTTGAAATATTTGAAAAAGTCGTTTGTTTGATTAACTGATAAGTAATTTCCTCAACAATACACGTTCATACCGTCTTATTTAGAAATAAACCATATCAGCGTTATTATCTTATTATTAAAACCTTCTTGGTATTTAAAGGAAGCTTGAATAATGTTTCTTAATCCATCAATGTAATAAAAATTTGATATCTCAGTTCATATTTTCAGGCTCCGAAATGTATGAAAACGATTACGATTGCAGGATGGTATCTTTCAGTAGCTGGTGGAAATTTTCTGGTGATAATCATTACTCAACTAAACATGTTCAGAAGTCAGGTAAACATTTATTACACCTCGTTACATCATGCCCAAAATTAGACAGATTTGCACCTAGGTCCGATTTCACTAAACCAGGGTGCAAAGAAGCGCACGGAACACAAAATCAAAAAATAAGAAGCCGTAATGGATCTAATGAATATGGTCGACTTCTTCGACAAACGTCTCTCAGACTAAAGAAAAAGTATACGGTTTGTGTGATATGGGCCCCTAATTCCCATAGTAAATCAAGAAGTAGTAGTAGTAGTAGAAAGATTTATTTAGCACATTTGGCTACATAAACAGAACAATTGTAAACAACTTAGAACTAGTAAATTCAAGCCATATGGTGTATGATGTAAATGCTGGGCAACCTATAATTGTAGATTTAACAAGTGATTTCTCAATTTTACTTTAAATTTTGTCAAAGTTTTCTGGTCTTTTATCTCCGAGTATAATTTATTATATTCAATCAACCCTTGATGGAATACAGATTTGTAGCATATGTTATACTTTTTGGTCATTAAATGGAAGTCATCTTTATTTCTGGTATTATGTAAATGATGGTCGACATTTGATGATGTTAAATTAGTTAGACTTGATGGAAATATATTATTTTTTACTTTATAAATGAATATCATTACAAGATATTTGATAAATTTTTTTACATTGAGCCATTTTAATTTGCTAAGCATTTGCCTAATTGGAGTATATTTATCTTTATTTAGTATTATTCTCATGCACTTATTTTGTAAAATTTGCAGTCTTTCAAAAATGGAATTATTTGCTAAATATAGAATAGTCGAACAGTACAAGAAATTTGGAAGAATGATGGTATTATAGATAATTTTTCTGCTATATGAACTCAGACATCCAGAAACTCTCGATAAATATCCCACTTTACTACTAATCTTATTTATAACTTTTTCATGATGAATATCAAAAATTAGTCGAGAGTCAACAAAAACTCCCAGGTATTTAAAATTTTCTACGAATTCAATATCTTCACCATCAATATTCAGTTGAACATTTGTACATTGTTTTTTTCCGATTAACAAGGCTTTCGTTTTACTTGCATTTAATTTTAGTCTGTTAGACGCTAACCATTTTGAGACAAGCTTCAAGTCTTCATTTATATAAGAGATACCAGACTGAATATTTTTAGTACTTATATAAATCATAGTGTCATCGGCGAAAATTTGAATTTTGCATTTTTTGACTATGGCAGGTAAATCATTTATGTATAAAATAAAAAGAAGTGGTCCCAGGATACTGCCCTGTGGAACACCCAACGTATTTTCAATTTTTGATGAAATAGTGTCATTAACTTTTGTAACTTGCATCCTTTTAGACAAATAATTTCTAAACCAATCTAAAACACTTCCTGTTATACCATATGCCTTCAATTTACCTAACAAAATATCTCTATCAATCGTTTCAAATGCCCTCTTCAAATCCAAAAATACTGCTATGACAACTTCTTCTGAGTCTATGGCTCTTCTCCAATTCTCAGTTACCAACTGGAAAGCTGTTTCTGTGGAATATTTTTTTCGAAAGCCTGCTTGCGCCTCCACTAAACTTTTGTTTTCTTCTATAAACTGCATTAATTGGTCAGGCACTATGGACTCTAATAATTTTTCAATGTCTGGTAACACATTTACTGGTCTCATATCGCTGCATCTTTTAGCATTTTTTATTTTGGGAACTGGTGTTATTGTAGAGCATTTCAAATTTTCAGGGAAAGAACTGCTTCTCAGTGAACAATTGATCCAATTTAATACAGGATATCCCAAAATTTCGAAACAGTTTTTCAGCACGTTTTTAGTAGTCATTTCGGCACAGTTGTTATTTGATTTTAAACTGTTTACTTTTTTTCTTAGATAATTCAATGATACGCTGTGAAATTTTGAAAGTGTATGCAACATTTCCCCCTGGAAACTGATTTTCATATAGTCAGGTGCAGCATTGGCAGTACCTACAATATCAACAATACTTTCCACAAAATATTCATTTAGTTTGTTTGCAATCACCAAAGAATTTGTTTCGGTATCGTTTTCGAATTGAACTTGATTTACACAACCATGCGGCTTCGAATTGATCAGTCTTTTTAAAGTCTTCCACATCTTTACACTGTCGCACTTGTTATTATCGATTTATTTATCGTAGAATTTTCTTTTTTCTTCTCTAATTACATATACACATTTATTCCTAAGAGTTTTATATACCTCCCAATCATCATTTGATTTTGTGAATATACATTTATTGTATTGTTTGTCTCTCGAATTTTGAGCTGCCTTAATATTTTTGTTATACCAGGGAGTATATTTTGTCGAGCCAATCACTTTTTTATCAGTTGCAAGATCTTAACAAGTTTTTATATTTCCTATTATGTTGTCATATATTTTTTCCATATTCTCACCAAAATTCCAATAGCAGCCAGCAAGTTCTCGTTCAAGTTGTTCGTAATTAATAGTATTTACGATTTTCTTAATTTTTGTATCAGAAAAATGCCCTACCAAGGGCAGCATTGTCCAACTGTGATCGCTAACTTTAGGTGTATGTACAGCTTTAATCCCTGCACATCCGAAATTTACAATAACAAGATCTAACAAAGTCTCTGATAATGATGTTATTCTGGTACTCTCTTCAATTTTTTGCTTGAACCCATAGTTGTTTATGCTTTCTTTCAATTTTCTTGTTTTCATGCTTTTACCATAATAATTTAAATTAAAATCACCTAAAAGTATTATATTGTTTCTAAAATTCCACATTTCTTCTCATTTTTCTTCAAAAAACGTTAAAAATGTATCTGCATCACTGTTTGGTGAACGGTAAAAAGTACAAAGATCATAACGTTTCCCAAATAATTTGAACTGTATATGTGCATACCAGTATGCATAGTCTAAAGTGGTATAATCGAATAATGTGATCTGTATTTTGTGGTAAACATAAATCACTACACCTCCAGTATGTCTGGAGTTGGAGTTGCATCTGTAGGTTTTATAATTTGTAATTCACCATCAGTGATGTCTTCTGTAGCATGTGTTTCGGTAAGACATAATACAAGTGGTTTTCTCCATCTTAAAAACTGTTGAACTTCATTTATATTATTCAGGACTCCTTGTATGTTTAAATGGTATATTGAGTTATATTCATCACTTACAGATTTAGCCACGTCTTGCAAATCTGAGCTTAGTAGTTGCTATTCGTTTGCATAATTAATTTTTTCCCTCTCACGTTCAATTTTCCTTTTATATACTGCACAATTTTTGTCAAATGGTCCATGATTAATAGGTAATCCTAGATTAAAATCCTGGTTTGCACTTTTACAATTTGGACAGCATTTGTGTGTGCCAAGAAAAGATGTGTGCAAGTGACCCCCAATTTTTGAATAACGTAATCACAGGTGACGAGTCGTGGATCTTTGAGTATGATCCCGAGACAAAGAGGCAATCTTTCGAGTGGCACACGACGGCGTCTCCTCGCCCAAAAAATGGAAGAATGAGCAAATCCAAAGTGAAAACGATGCTCATTGTCTTTTTTGACATCAAAGGCATCGTCCACCATGAATTTGTTCCTCCTGGACAAACCGTCAACGACAAGTTTTACGTGGAAGTGCTCAGGAGACCCAAACGAAGGGTCAGTCGGGTCCGACAAGACATCACAACCGACTGGAAGTTGCAACACGACAACGCCCCGGCTCACACCGCCTTTCTTGTGAACAGCTACCTGACCAAGGCCGGCATCCCAACGCTTCCGCAGCCGCCCTACAGCCCAGATGTGCCCCCCGGACGTTTTTTATTTCCTCGCCTGTAAAGGCCGATGAAAGGCAAGCATTTTGAGACGATAGAGGGGATCCAAGCAGCATGCACCGCGGCTCTCAAGGCTATTCCGGAGAATGCCTCCCGTGACGCCTTCAATGTTTGGAAATCGCGCTGGCAGCGCTGCATCGACGCAGAAGGAGCCTTTTTTTTATGGCACTAAGACTACGTCCCATTAACCAGATCCTTTTTTACAATTTAAACTTCTCTAACTAAGTAAGGATGGAATTGGACAGGGATACACTCTTCTCGCCTAAGGACCCATTAAGGCATTTTCAGAATATGACACACAACAATTAGGCCACGGTTAGGTAGGTAAATTACAGAGGATAGTTACACAGAGGATATCTAGCTAATCAAAACTAAAATTTTAACCCAGAGGTTTTCAAAAAGTCAATTATCAGACACGTAACATCAAGTCTATTCAAAGCTAGAATGTGGAGAACATTAAATGGTGAGATAAGGCCTAAGCCAATCAGATTAAGATAGAGTCGATCACAGTATGGAGATAACTTCAAACAGCCAAAAAATAGATGATCCAAGTTCCCCTCAATGTTGCAGTGTTCACATAAGTTGGAATCAATAATACGGAATCTAGCTAGTTGTGTTGGATAAGCTCCATGCCCAAGTTTTGCTCTAATAATCATAGATATGTATTTACGAGGAATTCTAAAATTTTTGTGTCAGTACGTTGTTGGGATATCAGGATGTATTAAAGTATACCTCGTTGGGTTCGTAAAGCAGAATTCCTTCCATTCTAACGTCCAGCTTTTAAATAGGATTTGTTTGGATAAAATATAATAATCTTCTTTGGAAATTTGTGTCTGTAATACAGATCCTATGTAGATGCTTGATTTTGCGAGTTGGCCAACTTTTTCGTTGAATACGATTCCACAGTGAGCCTTGACTTATACAAATGCAACCTTGCTTCCACTTTCTTTCAAGTGGCAGATCCTATGTTTTATTTGATTTATGTGACAATTGCTGGTCCTTGTGCAATCATAATTTTGTAAGGAGGAGAGAACGGAGAGACTATCGGAAAAAATTGTAAATTCTTTCAAGTGACTACTGCTTGCATGTTTCAGAGCTTGGATAATAGCCACTGCTTCGGCTGAAAAAATGGATACTTGGTCGGGAAGTTTAAAGGTGCCAACTGTGTCAGTACTGGGTATATAATATGCACATCCGGTTCCGTCCTGA